GTACCGACAGCAGGAACCAGACCTCCAGACCTAGGCCTGCTGCCCAAGCCCTGCACCCCAATCCCGGGCAAAGCCCCCAAGCCTCACCCCTCCACCGCGCCCTAGAAGCCAGACGCTCACAGGCCAGGTCTGGGGACCCTCTGTGGATCCTTCACTCCCTAGGCGCTGCCCCCTGTGCCCATCCTACAGATGCAGACCCTGAGAACAAGTCACGGTCTGAGGGCGCTCAGCCCACAGAGGCTGAGCCTGCCTCTTCCTTCAGGCGTGGTCTCACCTCTGATCCCTCTGGTGCTTCCTCTGGGGCCGGGACTCGGACCCCTCGATATGCAGCCAGGCTCCCTCCAGCCTCCATCCACCCCACGAGCGGGAGCTAGGCTGGCGCGGCTCGGGGCCTCTGCGCCCCTCACAGGCCCCTCCCCCTCGGCTTCACTGAGCAGACCCCACCCCGCCGCCTCTGCTTCCTTGGGTCGCGGTCTATCTGGCCGTCGGATTATTATCCAGATATTAAGTAAACAATAAATTAGCAAAACTACAAGAAAATTTTACAGCCCTTTGCATTTGGCAATCATTGAGTGTTAATTAGAATTTCATTACAATTAAAACCCTGCCTAAACAGGGCCTGCGCGCCTTAATTACATCTGATTTTTAATTCAGAATACGTGTTTACACAGTAAGCGCTACGTACCCCATGATTATCCCCAATCCTCTTTATACTGTACTAATTATGTAAATTAAAGCTAATTAACTGACGAAAACTGCCGTTAATTCAACTGGTAAAAGATATGTGCTTGCGGTGGAGGCGCGGCCATCGGCTCCAACCCAAGCCGTAGCCCGATGGGCGCCGAGGCCGGACAGTGTGGGCGCGGCTCCCGCCACTCCGAAGCAGGAAGACCCGGTGGGGGGCTGCAGGAGCGCCCCAGAAGCGCCCGGGGTCTCCAGTCCAGATCTCCGCCCCTGGGCGCCACTGGACAGCAGATAAAAGCTACAAAATCGCCACTAAGGCGGAGTCAGCGAGGGCAAGAGGGCGACTCTCGCGGGTTCCCGCGCCCTGGACGGGCTGTCTGGGCCGGGCCGCACCGAGAAACTCATGCGCACCCCGGTTCAAGTCCCAGCTCTGCCACCCCCGACATCTTGAACCTGAGCCAGCGGCCTGGCTGGCCAAGGCCCCTTCCTGCACCGGAGTCAGGAGCGCGGGGCAGGAACCACGCGCTGCCCACCTGCGCTGCCCAGCTCGCCACGCTGGGCCCTTTCTGCAGCGAGCAGGCACACCTAGGGTTGGGGTCCACCCCCGTGTCTTACCGACTGAAGGACTCGGGGGGTGGCTGCACTGCTTGACCCTTAGCTTCCTACCTGTAAGAGGGAATAAGTGTCCCCAGGTCATTATCACCAGTCCGTTGGCCCATGTGAAAACTGGTTCTGCTCGGAGCCAAATGACGTTTCTAGTAAGAATTGAGCCCCAGTTCCACTCCCGATGACAGCCCCACCCTCGACACCAGCACCAAGCAGTGGGGGACCCAAGCCTCTGTCCCCGCCTCTTCTTGTCTTTGTCCAAGTCCAGGGAGGCCCTGGGCACCCGCGCGCTGTGGTCCGCAGGGCCCGCTGGTGGGGAGCTGTCCGCAGCTCGGTGCTGAACCGGAAACAGAGGCGGCCCGTGCGCCCCAGGGGCGGTTGTCCAGGGTGGCAGTCACCCTTCATAAGGGAGGCCGGGGGAGTGCGCGTCCAGGCTGCCAGGGCCGCCCCAGGCCAGCCCCGGGAGCTCAATCAGACCTTGCAGGACAATGGAGGCCCAACAGGCAGGGCCCCGCACGGGACACTGCGCGCGTGCTCTCTGCTCCCACCTCGCCACCCGAGGGGAGATCACGATCGTTGTCACCACCAGGTCGAATTCTGAGATTCCTTTTCAGAAGATCATTAGGAGGCTAAGGATAATTACCAAGTAGGATTGTAATTATGGGGCGAGGGAACCCGGGCCAAGGCGGGGGCAGGAACTGGAGGTGATACTTTGGCTGGGAAGCAAAAAGGTTCCCGTTACCCTCCCCTGGAGGGGTGGGAACTAACAGCTGCAGAGCTGGCCCGGAGCAAAGGCCACGGCTGGAAAAGAGGCCCCGCACGGAGGGCCAGGGCGGAGATAGGAGAGGGGCTGGGCGGGCTCCGGGGTGCGGAGTGGAAGGTAGGGCGCGCGGGAGGCACTCGGGGAGGGAAGGAAGAAGGAAGAACCGAGCTAGAGGAGACCACGGAGCACTACAACTTTGGAGAGGTCCTCGGGGTGTCAGGAGACACGCGGGGGTGGAGGTGCACCCTCCCATGCTAGGGCTGAGCAATCATTCGCTCCTAGGACCTTCCCTGGGGTCACCGCGAGCCAGGAGAGAAGGGCAGAGGAGGTGGGAGAAGGGAGAGAACCCAGGGGAGCTGGGCCGCAGTGGGGAGAGGGGGCCCAGCTCCCGGTGAAAGAAGGAAACGAGGGGGCTGGGAGGAGCGACCCCAGCCGCCACCCGCGGAAGATTTATGGCGCTGCGCGCCCGGGTTCCAAGGACGGGCTGTGCTCGCCTCGCTGCTCCCGCAGTCGCTCGCTGTGGCCGCTGAGCTCTCTGCCCGGGCGGCCCGCCGCGCCCCGGGGCCATCCCTGCCATTATTAACTTCTGTTTGATTAGGGTAATTGTTCAAACTTGGGCTGGACAGTATGATTAATTACAGTTTAATTAACGTGTCCATTAAGGACATTTAATGCCAAGGGGGCAGGCAGGGGGGTGGAAGCGGCGAGGGGGCGCCCAAGTGCGGGGGGCGGGGTTGGGGGCGCGACTTCCAACTCGAATGAAGTGGAGACTGAGATTTACAGAGAAAAAGAAGCCGAGGACCCAAGGAGGGACAGAGAGAAGGGCAGAGAGTAGGGCGGGGTGCGGAGGAGGGGAGCTTTGGGAAGACAGAAGGTGCCACCGCCCCTGGACGCCGCACCCCACCCACACCGCCGGATAACTGAATCACAACGTTAACTAAGCAGTTGACCTCAGGTCTTGTCCAGAGTACACAGGCTCCTGCCTGATGGCCAGGACGAGGAAGGACATTCTAGGCCGGGAAGAGTAGGGGTAGCAACCCGGTTCCCCGTCCTCTGTCCAGGAGCTCAGAGTGGCCCTCAGCCTAGAGCTCTCCAGGGAGCTGTGGGGAAGGCGAATCTGCCCTTTCCCGGCTGCTTTCTCCAGTTCCCTGCGCCCCAGACCCCGTTCCCGGCGCTGGTGACCCTATTGGCTCCCTAGGACCACGCGCGGATCCGCTGCCCAGAGGCAGAAAGTGAAGAGCCCCTCCCAGCTTCCCTTTTTTCTGGGCTCTCCTCAACTCAGTCACTGGGCCCTAGCTGCGCGCAATCCAGTCCCCTGGGAGGGCTCCGGGCCCTCCCCATCCTATCCCTGGGGGCAAACTTTGAGGCCCCAGGCCCTTTCTCCCGTCTGGCCTCTCGGGCTAGCGCGGGACGCAGGTGCAGGGCGCAGGTGTGCGGCCGCTTACCTGGGGCGCGCAGGCCCTGGGACTGCGGCGAGGCGGCGGGGCGCCGCGCGCGTGGCCCGAGGGCAGGCGGACCCGGGAGGGCGCGAGGGGCCGCGCGGGTGGTGGGTGTGGCGCCCCGGCTGACAGCTGTCGGGCGCGCCCGCCCCGCACCGGCCTCGCCTCCCGGCCTGCGCCCGCTGCTGCGCCATGCGCTCTGGGCTCCGGCCTCTTCTCCGGGCCGGTCCCCGGCCTCAGGGGCAGCGGCTCCGGACACAAGTCTCTGCGCCCGGGGCCCTGGCGCCCGGATCCTGCTGAGAGCGGAAGGGGCCGCGGGGGGAGCGCGGGGAGCCGGGAGCGCGCTGTGCGCGCGCGCGGGGAGGGGCCGCGCCGTCACCGAGAGCCCGGCGGATCCCGGACTCCCGCCCGCCGCTCCGCCCGCCGCGCACCTCGCTCGCACGGCTCCGGCCGCCGCCGCCGCACGGTGAGTCCCCGCGCCCCACCGCGCCCGCGTTTTTTTCGTTGAGTTCTGATGTGGACCCTCGTGGCTGCTGTTTTTATCAAACCGAACGACTCCGCCGCCAGGCTCCAACCGCTACCTGCCTCGCGCACCATTTCCCTCCGCAAGCTCAACCTCCCCGAAGTCCCGGGAGCCGGCGAGGCTTCCCCGAGCCGCCCAGGCCATGGCTCCTGGTCCCTGAGCACGACCCTACCCGGTGCTTTCCGCTTTGGCCCCTCCGAAATGCTTTTCCTTTCCAAGGGCCCCTTTCTTCTGGCTCCAGGACCCGGAGCCCCGTTATTTTACTCGGGAAAACCTCCGGAGTGGGGACGGGACCTCGGCGGCGCTCAGTTGGGGGTGCTATCTTCACTGAACACGGGCCTGGCACAGTCACCGGTTTCGGAAAACCGAGAGGCCACAGTCATTTCCCAGAGCCACGCGCCCCGGACCGCCCACGCAGCCTGCCTGAGCGCCCTCCCCGGGGCGCGCGGCTTGCCTTGTTGACCCTCCACCAGGGAGTTAGGACCGTGGGTTTTTGTTGCTGTTGTTTTTCTTTTTTGCTTGCCAAAATGTTACCACGGACTTCAAGGCCAAGGGAGGGTCAACTTGTTTCAGTTTGATTCTAAGAGATAAAGATGAAACAGATAATAAATAGCTTGGTACTTGAGGAAGGTACAAGACAGATGGGAGAAACAGGCGCGAGCTGGTAGAGACAGACAGCTGGGGGACAGATAAGATCGGCAGATACAGAGCGCCTAAATGGGAAACGGGAGAGGGGCAGGCTGAAGATTTCAGTCTCATCACCTAAGGCTGTACAACTCGGACTTCCTGCGTGGTTGAAGTTGCCCTTCTGAAAATGGATTTGCCTTTCTGGCCGAGTTTAAAGGAGGGGCTCGCTGGGTCGGGGTGCCCGGGGTTTTGGAGCGGCTGCAGCCCTAGGCCAGGTTGAGTGTGGAGCCTTGTGTGTGTGAGGACACGTGGCCAGGCCTAGCGACCTAAAAGACCCTAAACATCAGTCCCCAGGTCCCGCTCCACGCGGCTGCAGAGGTCTTCCGGCACGGCTGTCTCGCTGTCTGGGCCAGAGAACGCAGCGCAGGACCACAGCAACTTCCGTGCTTGGAGCCTTGCTGGGGTGCTGGAGACCCGCAGGACCGACTCCCTGTGGCTCACATGAGTGGGGACAGAGAGGCACGAAGGACCCCCCGGGAAGAAACTCCCCCGAAGCAGGCTCTCCGAGCCATCAAGGACCGCGTCTGGCCTGACAGGAAAGGAACATTGTGGAGGAGGCAGCTCAGAGAGTGGGCCGTCAAAAGTGAAGGCGACACAGTTCCTGAGAAACTTGGAGAACCTCTCTGTCCCACGCACAGACCCAAATGGAAGCCAGCTTTGGGTTTGGAACGCAGCTAAAAATGCTGAAAATGTGGCTCGATACTACTCAGTCCTTGTCCTACTGATGGCTGGGAAGGAAACGGCTCCTGTATCTAGTCAGAATCTTTCTGCCCAAGGAACACGGAGCGCCAGCGTGAGAAGAGAAGCTCGGGTTGGTGGAAACTTGTGCTGGGGTCCCCGGAAGCCGGACAGCGCGGAGCTGGGCAAGGTGGGGGCCGCCCTGGGGCCGGGAGCACAGAGGCGCGCTGTGCAGAGGGTAGTAGGGTTCAGCACCGCGAACAGCGGTCGCCTCCGCCTCTCCCCCTCCCTGGCAGCCCGGGTCCCTCCTCCTTGTCCCTGCCCCCTCCTCGGCCCCCGCAGGCTGAAGGTGGGCAGTGACCGCCCCTCCCTCGCTCCCCACGCTGCCCCCGCCCGCCCGCCCGCGTACATGCGCTGCTGAGCAAAAGGGCCGCAGGTCCCCGAAGTGCGGGCTTCAGGACCCAGGCCGGCAGGGCGGGCTGCGAGGGTGGCTCAAGGCGCGTGGATCTGAGCGTCAGAAAGCCTGGATCCAATGGCATTGCTGTGTGGCCTTGGGCAAGTCGCTCTCCGTCTCTGGGTCCCACTTGCTTCCCAGTCCAAAAACGAGATTGGACTCCTCGCAGCTGGGGCACCCCTAAGGTCTCCATTACCCCTTCTCCCAATTCAAACCCCCGGAGCATTTGTTCCGGTGCCTACACGGGTCTGAATAACAAAAGACTCTCGCTTCGGGAACCAAAGAGATTGGACTCCCTAATACCAAGTATCCCCGGCGCGCCTAGTCTGTGCGCCTCGCTGGGCGTACCCCAGCCGAGGCGGGGGCGCTGGAAATGGCTCATCTGCTCTCTGCTTTCTCTGTTTCGCAGGAGCGGCGGCATGGAGGCTCTCACCACTCAGCTGGGGCCGGGTCGCGAGGGCAGCTCCTCACCCAACTCCAAACAAGAACTGCAGCCCTATTCGGGCTCCAGCGCCCTCAAACCCAACCAGGTGGGCGAGACGTCGCTGTACGGGGTCCCTATCGTGTCGCTGGTCATCGACGGTCAGGAGCGCCTGTGCCTGGCGCAGATCTCCAACACCCTCCTCAAGAACTATAGCTACAATGAGATCCACAACCGCCGCGTGGCCCTGGGCATCACGTGCGTGCAGTGCACGCCGGTGCAGCTGGAGATCCTGCGCCGGGCCGGGGCCATGCCCATCTCTTCGCGCCGCTGCGGCATGATCACCAAGCGCGAGGCCGAACGCTTGTGCAAATCCTTCCTGGGCGAACACAAGCCACCCAAGCTGCCTGAGAACTTCGCCTTCGACGTGGTGCACGAGTGCGCGTGGGGCTCGCGCGGCAGCTTCATCCCTGCGCGGTACAACAGCTCCCGGGCCAAGTGCATCAAGTGCGGGTACTGCAGCATGTACTTCTCGCCCAACAAGTTCATCTTCCACTCGCACCGCACCCCCGACGCCAAGTACACCCAGCCCGACGCCGCCAACTTCAACTCGTGGCGCCGTCACCTCAAACTCAGTGACAAGTCGGCCACAGACGAACTGAGCCACGCTTGGGAGGACGTCAAGGCCATGTTTAACGGTGGCACGCGCAAGCGGACCTTCTCGCTGCAAGCAGGCAGCGGAGGCGGCGCGAACGGCGGGTCAGGCGGACAGGGGAAGGGGAACTCCGGGGGCGGCGGCGGCCCAGGGTGCGGCGCGGAGATGGCCCCAGGCCCACCGCCCCACAAAAGCCTGCGCTGCGGCGAAGACGAGGCAACCGGGCCACCGGGCCCACCTCCTCCCCACGCAACGCGCGGGCTGGGGCTGGCGACAGGCGCCAGCGGCCCGGCGGGCCCAGGAGGGCCTGGAGGTAGTGCGGGCGTGCGTAGCTACCCGGTGATCCCGGTGCCCAGCAAAGGGTTTGGTCTCCTGCAGAAGCTCCCCCCGCCGCTCTTCCCGCACCCCTACGGTTTCCCCACGGCCTTCGGTCTATGCCCCAAAAAGGACGACCCAGTGCTGGGCGCGGGTGAACCCAAGAGCGGTCCTGGCGCTGGGAGCGGCGGCGGCGCTGCGGGTACTGGAGCGGGTGGCCCGGGAGCTGGCCACTTGCCCCCGGGAGCAGGGGCGGGGCCGGGCGGCGGGGCCATGTTCTGGGGACACCAACCCTCCGGGGCAGCCAAGGACGCAGCGGCGGTGGCTGCAGCGGCAGCGGCCGCTACCGTGTACCCGACGTTCCCCATGTTCTGGCCAGCAGCGGGCAGCCTCCCGGTGCCACCCTACCCGGCCGCACAGAGCCAGGCCAAGGCCGTGGCTGCCGCAGTAGCAGCGGCAGCAGCGGCCGCGGCCGCAGCTGCTGGCGGGGGCGGACCAGAGTCCCTGGATGTTGCGGAACCAGCCAAGGAGGGCAGCCTCGGCGCGGAGGAACGCTGCCCGAGCGCGCTGTCCCGCGGGCCGCTGGACGACGAGGGCGCGGACGAGGCGCTCCCCTCCTCTTTGGCCCCCCTGCAGCCCCCGCCGCCTCCACCTGCGCGCAAAGGCTCCTACGTTTCGGCCTTCAGACCGGTGGTCAAGGACGCCGAGAGCATCGCCAAGCTCTACGGCAGCGCCCGCGAGGCCTACGGCGCGGGGCCGGCGCCTCCTGCTCGTGCGCCCGGGCCTGGCACCGGTCCCGGAGGCGGCTACGTGAGCCCGGACCTTCTAAGCGAGGGTAGCTCTAGCTACCATTCTGCCTCGCCCGACGTGGACACCGCGGACGAGCCCGAGGTGGACGTGGAGTCCAACCGCTTCCCAGACGAGGAGGGCGCCCAGGAAGATTCGGAGCCCAGTGCGCCCAGGGCAGCCAGCGCGGGAGGTGGCCCAGACGGTGATCCGTCCGCTGGGCCCCCCTCTGCCACCTCCTCAGGCGCGGATGGTCCCACAGACTCTCCTGACGGTAGCCCCCACCCCCGGCGACGTCTCGGGCCAACCCCAGGTCGGTCGGCTTACGGGGACTTGGTGGCCGACGACCTGCTACGGAGACCGGAGAGAAGTCCGCCGACCAGTGGCTACGAGCTGCGAGAGCCTTGCGGACCCCCAGGAGGCCCCACGACGGCCAAGGTGAGCCCCGCGCCCTGCCTTTCAGGGCGCCTCCCTGCTGACCCCTCCGCACAGCCTGCGCGCTGGGCGGGTCCGGCTCACGTGCAGGAGACGCGGATTTTGTTCCGCGCAGGCAGTGGAGCAGACGCCTGCGGGCGCCCTGGAGCTGGGTTCGCTGGAGCCCCGGGACTGTGGGGTTCGGAGGATCGAGGCGTGGTGGGGGGTGGGGGCGCAGGCCTTCAGAACCAGTGTGTTTTGTTTTTGTTGACGGGAGTGAGGAGGAGACTGGCAGAAACAGCCAGACATCCAGAGATACGAAAGGGGTCTGCAGAAAGAAAGAGGGGAGGCTGCGCCCCGAGCGCGCCTGTCCAGATGGGGATCAGAACCCCAAGGAAGACAAGCAGGAAGGGAGAGGTGAAGACAGCCTCCCCGCAAGTTGCTGGGTAGTGCGGGGGTCCCCCAAACCTCCGTCCCCCACCCCAACAAGAGTAGTTTCAAACTCCAGCCTTGGGGACCGCAGGCTTGGGTGCTGGGAAGCCGTGTGCGGGGCGGGTGGAAGGAGCGGGTCAGGGCCGGCCGCGACCGTTGGCCACGCTGAAAGCAGCAGCGCACACTTGTGCTTTTCCATTCGGTTCATTAAAACGCGAATCATTAACCGGATGCGAAAGGCGCCATTTATGCCGGGAACCTGGCACTGGCGCGGGCGAGAAGGGAAACGTCGAAAAGGGGGCGAGCGCAGAAAGGAGGCTGCTGTGCGGCCCGGCAGCCGCTGGGCGCGTGGAGCAATGTGCTCGCGGGCGCGGTTGTCCTGCAGGACCGCGGGCACCGGCCTCCGAGGCGCCGCCGCGTGCGTCCCGGTCTCCGCGCCGCTCGGCGCTTCCCGGGGCCGCGGTGGGGGCGGCACCCAGCGCCCCGCTAACCGCCTGTGTTGGTTTCTGGCCGCGCAGGTGTACGCGCCGGAGACGGACGAGCACGTGAAGAGCGCGGCGGCGGCGGCGGCGGCCTCCTACCTCTGCGCCCACGAGGCCCACGGTAACGCCGCCGGGGCCGGCGCCGGCCACTGTCCCAGCGTCCCCGAGGCCACGGCAGGCCCAGGGCCGGGCCCAGGCACGGCGAGCGAGGGAGGCCGAGCGGGCGCAGGAAGCGGGAGCGCGAGGAGGGGAGAGGGAAGGGAGAGCTGGAAGGGAAGGGCCGCGGAGCACAGATCCGGCCGCGAGCCGTGGCCTGAACCCGGAGCCCCGCCGCCTCCTCTACGGCACACAGGCGCCTCCTGGAGCCTTTAAAAACCACCCTGCGAGGCCGGGATTTAGCTCAGCGGTGTAGGCGTCTGCCTGGTCGTGAGTTCGATCCCTGGTACCAAAAAGCGAAACAGTCTGGGCCGCTGCTTCCAGCCCCTCAATTATTCAGCAAACGTGCTGGGCTTGGGGTCCCCGTGGCCCTCGAGGATCTGACTAGACGAGGAGGGCGCCTGGCTGCGCAGTTGGGTACACAGGGGCAACGCGGGGGGCGGGGCGGGGTGCACTTGCTCGTGGGACCGCGTTGCTAGCAGAGGAGGGCTCCATGCCTCGGGAATCGGCTGGCGGAGGCAGCCAAGCCCTGGCTGGACCCTGCGTCCCCCCAACACCAACACCAGCCGGCAGGTGGCCGCGAGGGTATGCGGGACAGACCCGCAGCCACGCGCGCTCGCGGTGCCCCAGTGTCCGCGCGGACGTAGGTCGCTTGTCCCTGGTGGACTCCGCGGCCTGTCTCACTCTCTTCCTAGGGGCTGGGGAGAGGGCTCAAAGCCCGGAGAAAGAGCAGACCCTGCCATGCCAGGGGGAGGGGTGCCCGGCCCAAAGCCTCGGGGCGCGAGCCTGGGCGCACAGCCCGGAACCCGAGGCGGCCACAACGTTTTTAATTAGGGCTTGGGCGCCCCAACCGCGGCAACGCTGGCGTTATCAGGGTCACGGTTTCTTTGCCTCTCCTTGAAACTCTGTTTATTGCCTTTAAAGAGCCAGAGAAGGAAGACAATCACTCGACCACCGATGATTTGGAAACGAGGAAATCCTACTCAGACCAAAGGAGCATCTCCCAGCCAAGTCCCGCAAACACAGACCGAGGTGAGCCGCCTGCAGCTGGAAGCTGGTACCCGGGTGGCCCAGGTTTCAAGGGGTTTGCGAGCTAGACTTTCCATTATGATCCAGTGGCTGCCAGTTCTTTCCTTCCTCTGAGAGAAGATAACTATTAAATATGAGGAGAGGGACTTTCAGGCTGGAGTGCTGAGTCGTTGGTAGCTTGGGGCTCTTCTGGGCAAGGGTAGAGAGCGTGAGGAAAGGAAATGGAGGGACCGCTGCACCCACCTAAAATAGGTCAAAGGGCCCTTCCTTCTTGAGGACAACCCATCTTCCCTGGGCCATCTCTTGTGCTCTCCAACAGAGCTTGGGGAGCGGTGGGGGGTCCGAATACTTGAACCAATCCCTCCGAAAGCCCCAGGAAGCTCACCCCTCCCTTCTCAAGCCCTCTGGGGTGCAGAACCCTTCTCACCTGCCCCTGCATCCCAGGGGAAGACGGACTCACCTTGGATGTCACAGGAACTCAGCTGGTGGAGAAAGATATTGAAAACCTGGCTAGAGGTGAGGTTACATCTGTGAAATGGGGGTACACTGTGCTGGAGGGAGGTGGATCCAGCCTGTGCAGAGGACACAGTTCCTGGGGTAGGACAGGCCATGGCCATGGGGGGCGGGAGGGTCAGTTTTTATTTCCCAGATCATCCTGGTACAAAGGTATTACAGTTGGTGGATGGGTAGAGTGACCAAGTCCCTGGAAGTTTATTGCAGGAATGGACTTCTGGGCCTGAGTCTGTCTTGGATAGGTTGGTAGAGAGGGAGTAATGATTTTCAGAACTGGATGCTGTGGCCAAGCAGGCAGGACAATCTAGGGTTCCCCAAACTCCCTGGAAAACAGAATTATTTTGGAAGCGCAAGATATCAAGGAAGCACTTATGTTAGGACCATGGGAGAGGTTGCAGTGTGTTCCCCCTGGAATTGACTCAAAACCACAGTGAGGATGGAGCTTGTTTGCAGGATACCGAGGGTCGCTGCTCAGGATCTGGAAGGGATGGTGGCTTGAAGCACAGAGAAAGGGAGGTGTCTTGGAGCCCCACTTTCTCCCCTCCATTGTCCATTCCTGTGTTTTAGGAAAGTCTTCCACAGGGAGGTTCCAAATACTAACAGCCACATGGCTGAGGCAGCCTCTGGGACTGGACCGCTCTGGAACTGGTTTCTGAGGCCACTGAACAGAGTGGTCAACACCCAGCCTCTGGGCAGTCTTGGAATCTGTGGGAGTAAGGAGATAAGTGTTAGTGGTCTCCTGTGGTCCTCCATGTGTCTTAGTTACAGATTTTACAGAATATGCCACTACTTTCAAAATCACTGCTTTTTGTTTGTTTTATGGTAGTGGGAACTGAACCTAAGGCCTCATGTGAGGGGTCTTAACATGGGTTGGGAGGGGGGAGTGTGCAAATCTCCTGAAATTGTAGGCAAAGTGTTAAGTTTGTATATTTTTCTGGGAAGGTTGTTCAAAGCTTTGACCAGATTCTGTACTGACACTTGAAAAGGAAAGTCACATTTGCATGGGTCATTCATCCTCTAAAGTTAGGGAGTTAGGAACAGTTTAGCAAATGCTGAGCTGGTTATTCCCACTCACCCCCCAGAATCAGGGCCCAGAAATCCAAAATAGGCTCCATCTTTCTGGATTTGATTTTCTTGGGTATGCTACCCCTAGCCCTGTGTCTTTTCTCAGATCCTTTGAATGCAAATGGAAAGCCAGAGTGCCACAACTTGGGTCCCAGGACCTCAGTCCCCCGTGGGTTCCTAGAATTACTCCCAGCACACACACCTTCTCCTGAATCCCATTCTCTCCCTTCACAGAGGAACTACAAAAGCTACTCCTGGAGCAAATGGAGCTCCGCAAGAAGCTGGAACGAGAATTCCAGAGTCTCAAAGGTACTTCCATCCCTGCCCACCCACTCAACAGTGTCACCCACTGTCTGGGAGCTGGGTGCGGGCAGCTGCCACCTCCAGAACCCCCATCAGATCAGAACTCCCATTTCTTGGGTTTCCAGCGGGGCAGGTGACTTGGGGGGGGGGTAGAGGTGAGGATGGGAGGGAGGCGCAAGGGAAGCCCGGGAGGAGGCAGTGCGTAACAGCTCTCACTTAATCAATTTGCACAGATAATTTTCAGGATCAAATGAAGAGGGAATTGGCTTATCGAGAAGAAATGGTGCAACAGCTGCAAATTGTCAGAGGTAAGACGGGAGTCAGGTGAGCGCAGGCCCGGGCTGTAACTGCCTGTCGTCTGGCAGGAGCCCACAATGTTGGCTCAGTCATTTGGATTTAAATTGAAGGTAATTTAACAATTATTTTTTTATTTAATATCCTTTGTATACTCTGATTAGCCTCCGAATGGCAAGCGAGCCCAGCAAACGGCTTGCAGGCATCATTACATGGAGTGATTGAACTTCTTATCGCGGCAATTTCCATGGTTTCTAAATTAAAAATCGAGGCGTAAAATTACCTGGGAAGTAATGCCTAAGTTTGCTTTAATTTTGGTTAGATCCGTCTGCCTCTAAGCGCCATCGTAGGCCATTTCCTCCCTGCACCAGCCTGCAGTTTGGAACGCGGGCGCTCCCTCCCCTCACCCTCCCAGGAGTTTCTTCTCTGGCGGCTGGAGAGGGGTAGGATGTGGCCTGGGCTGTGACCCTGCTGGCCAGCCCCAAGGTCCTCAGGCTTCCCTCACCTGCCCACCTGTCCTTGTCTTCCAGATACCTTGTGTAACGAACTTGACCAGGAGCGAAAGGCACGCTATGCCATCCAGCAGAAATTAAAAGGTGCAGAACTGGGAGACAGAGAGAGGACTGCCAGGGGTTGCCTGGGCCCCTAAATGAGTGAATGGATGAGGGGCTGGGTGGATGAATGCGGGGGGCACGTGAGAGTGAAGGCCAGGGCCACTTGGATCAAAAGCTGAGCTGAGAGAAGTGAGGCTTGGTGGTAAGTGGGGGGCTTATTCTAGAACAGTGAGGTAGGCAGGAACAAAGTTTTGAGCTCTAGGCATCCAAAAAAAAATCTGCCTTTGGAGCCCTTTGGCCTTGGGCAGGTCAATTCCTCTTTCCCTGAGCCTCAGTTTCCTGTCCTGTAAGACAAGGCAGGAACCAGAGGGGTGGTTCTCCTCACCAGGTCTCTCTCCTGCCTCCTTTGTGGCCCGCGGGGCTGGGAACCCCTGAGCCCAAGGGGTCGCTGAGACCGAGGAGGGGGACCGACGGGCTGCGCGGCGAGGCAGGCGAGGCACCAACGTGCCCGTGCGACTGTCTCCCCAGAAGCCCACGACGCCCTGCACCACTTCTCCTGCAAGATGCTGACGCCCCGCCACTGCACCGGCAGCTGCTCTTTCAAGCCCCCGCTGTTGCCCTAGGGCCTGCCCGGCCTCGCCCGCGCCCTCGAGCCGTGCTGCTCCTTCCTGTAAATACCCGCCGAGACGCCCGCGGCAGCAGCAGGAACAAGCCATTGGACCGACCGACGTAAATACCGCCCGCCTGCCCGCGCGCTTCGCTTCGGGGCTCCCCGACCGCGCCGCCCCTCCCGGGCCGGGCTCCTTCCCAAGTGTAAACACCGCTTTGCCCTCGGTTAAGCTCCAGGGCCTCGGAGCTCAAGGGGTTAACTGGACGGGAAAAGGGGGACAAAGAGGACAGCTCCCAACCCCCCAGCGTGGCCGGGTGTGCAGCCGGGGACCCCGTTGTGAATACGCCTTAGCGACTTCGCTGGCGCCGGCTGCCCCTCCCTGTCCACTTCTGAAACTGTTCCCAAGGACAAAGTGGCTATGTGCAATGGATGTAAATGTCCCGAGTCTCGGTTCCGTGTTAGGTTCTCGTTCATTTCTTTGTGAGTCTCAGTTACGTTCCTTTTTTCTCCTGGTCCCGCTTCCCCTCACATTTTGCATCCTCCCCACCCTTTTTTTGCTTTGTCTTGTTTCTGTTGTTGTAACCTCTTGATGTCACAGCACTTTAAAAGGGCGACACCTGACTCACGAGAAGGCGACCACCTTGAGCCTGTTTGGGGGAGACCACCCTGTATCCGTGACTTTTGTTTTTAATAAAAGAAAAACCTGTCACTTTCTGGGGCTGCCGGAGGTGGAAGTGTGGTGGGGGAGGGAAGGGGAGGGAGGCGTGGGCAGAAGGTCCTGCTACAGGCGGGGTGGGGCCACCTCCGGTGCCTGGGTTACGGCTGCCCTTGCTCTGATCCACAGCTCCTGACCTCTCCTGACCCACCTAGGCACACCCAGTTTTGCCCACGGGCTGCCCCCTCCACATGAGAACCGTCCCTTGGGCCCTGGTTAGGGAAAAGAGGGTGATTTCGTGGTCCCCCATGCAGCCAACCTTCCCTCAAGCTTTTGCAGGGGCCCAGAGTCCATTCATGCTGATGCCCATGCCTGGGTACTGGGAGACAGGGCTTGCTTGGAACCCCGGGTTCCACCCCCGCTGACGGGCACAGGCACTGCTGTCCTGACCCAGGGGTGCTGAGACTGGGAGCAGGGGGCTGGGCCCACAGGCCTGGGAAGGAAGGAAGGAGGGGCTTGAAGCTTGCCCAGGCCCTGCCTGCTGCTAAGGAAAGCTGGGTGCCCAGGATGCCATGACTTGAGGAACTCGGGGGGAAGGTGAGTATCTGGGGCTGCAGCATGGCTGAGCCTCTCCTGCCTCAGTTTCCTACTCACCTGCCCATTGGGACACAGATAATGGAATTGCAGAATACTTATTTTTTTTTCCTGGTGAGGTGTAAAGGATGAATGTAGGAAAGCGGAAAGTACTGGGTAGGGGGCCCGAAATGTACCTCTTCCTCTGCTAATTAGATGTCCTGCGGCGCCCTTTGGCGAGTGTGTATGCACGCACGCTTGTACCTCAGTTTTGGCCTCCATAAAATGACTCTTGAGCCTTTGTTCATGGAGGGTCGTGCAAATGCTCTGCGAGGTAAACAGCCTGGGCCGCTGCAGGACCTGCGCTCCATAGCTCTGCTCTGGGACACCCCAGACGCGGCGCATCTCTGGGACAGGGAACCCGGAGGCCGGCAGAGAGAGGCTGGGAGCGCATTCCTGACTGCTCGGAAGGGTCGCAGCCCCGCAGCCGTGGAAGCCAGTCCGCTCGCTCCCTGCTCGCTCTCGGGCTGTGGGATTTCAGTGCCCAAAGTATTTAGAGGGCTGGGTGCAGCGAAGACATGTGGAGGTACTGGCTGTGAGGCGAACTGGACAGACTAACCCTAACGCTCTAGTTCTCCCAGCCAGGACTCTCCGGGGTGTCAGAACCTTTCCTGTCAGTGGACCCTCCAGATTAGTTCCCCGTTGTACCCAAGTGACATTCAGAGAGGAAGTGACTTGCGTCTCCAGGGCGCCCCTGGGGCGACTGGAGCTGAGATGTGGCTAGTGTGGCGCGTCGCGGGGGTGGGAGGGGGTGGGAGGGTGCACCTCGTTTCTTTCCCCGCTGCATAAATGCACCCCTGGAAACAAGACTTTCAGTCTCTGCAAAATGGGCACAGCAGGGACCACCCAGGCAAGTTCCTTTGAGGCCCAAGGGAGGAGCTTAACCAAATTCTCCTTTCTACCCATTCTCCACAAATTCCCCAAGTGGAGAAAGCACCAGACAGCTGGGGTCCGCCAAAGGAGGCGCCCCCATCTGAGCCAGAATCTCTACGGATTCCGGGTGTAGGCGGATCCGACCCACAAGATAGAGTGGAGAGGGGAAGCTCCTGGGCCCTGCCTCCCTTTCGATGTGTTTGCCCCCCAATGTTAATAACCAAACAATCGGTATGGATGTAATTATCAATAATTATACGAATTATTGCTGATTGCGGGTCTCGTAGCTACTTTAATTAGTTTACCAGATTCTAATTAAGTTAAATGAAACATTAATAGGGAAAATATGCTTTAGAAAAACACTCAGGATTTTAAATGTTTCTCGCCACAATGTTGCCACCTTGCGATGGATTTGGAGCGTTACAGTTGACGCCAGAAGGCCCAGACTTGAGCATCTTGGCTCTCGGGGAGAAACAGGCTGGCGGGTTGAGAGGAACTGCGGGGGCTCACGAGGTCCTCGGGATGTCCTTCGCGCTTCTCGGTTCGGCGCCCCCGGACCCCGGAGTGTCTCCGTGGGGTCTGGCTCTGGAGTCCAAAGCGTGAGGTAAGGGACCGGTTAAGTGACTCCCTTCCACCCTCCACCGCATTCCCTCTGAAACTCTTGGGATGGCGACGTGACAGCTACGTCCCTATCCCTCCACCTGTCTAGCGAATCTAAGATGAGAGGCCGAGAGCGAGTAGGGGTGCACTTGGGGACCATTTTATGTTGCTCTGGGATTTTTTTGCTCCCCTGTGAGAAACCAGTGTGTGGCTTCCAATCTCTTTTTCCTCTGGCAGCATGGGTAACCTGTCCCCCAAAGCACCTAGAGGACCCCCTAACACCTGCTCAGGGGTGTGTGGGTCTGCTTCTGGAGAGACTGTGTCTTGCTAACTGTGCTGCCCTTTCTTGTGATCTCTTGACAGCACCCTGCTCCACAGGTGCACAGCTGCGCGTGTGAAAGGGCTCCAACTTGAGTAGTTCGTTGAGGTGCTGAGAACGTCTACAGGAAGAAATCCCTAGCTGCTGCTGGACAACTGCCACAGAGAAGCAATTAAGCTCATTTGCCTAAGGTTAATTAAGCACAAGCTTACTGCTCAGAAAGGAGATCCCTCATCAATAGGATTAGTTTGGGGGGCAGGTGTCAAGTAAGTAAGTCATTGCCAACCTAAAACAGGAAAACTTTCTGCCTCTTCTGGCCTTGTCCCAAAGTAGGGGGTGGGGGGCCACCTTCATATTTTGCAAGATCACTGGCCATGTACCTGTCTACCCAGTCCCATTGAGCCTGCTGGAGAGTGTGGCCTTGATTCTTTGCAGAAACACAATGCTTGCCTTGAATTCAGAACACACACACACACACACACACACACACACACATGCACACACATGCAGAACCAGATCTGTGTGCTCTTTGTGTTAATTCTAGCCAGTCTATGACCCTTTCCCACCCCAACGACTGCAGATGATTAGTTAAGGCCACAAACTCTGTGGCCAGATTGACAGAGGTCTCAGTGGCCATGGGCTGGTCTTGTGACACTGGACAAGTTGTGGAGTCACTCAGCACTTCAGCTTCCTCATCTCTAACAGGAGGGAAATAGCTGCCCCAGCAGATGGTGCTGAGAGCAGCCCTTCAAAGCCAGAAACAGTGATACAACTGAGTCTGGGGAGATCGTAGTTCCCTATAAGTTCATTTTTCAGCCCTGAGATTCAGGAGTCCCCAAATGGGCCCCATTCTGTGGCCCTCTACTTCTCTGGGGGCCAGGAAAGAGGAGGCAGACATAGTTTGTCCAGGTTGGCCCCTTGAAGATGGTGGAGATACAGTAGTAAGGATCCATGGTACCCATATTGGAAAGAAGTCCTGCAGTGCCAGCATTCTTGGTGACTGTGTCTATCGGCAGGAGCAAAGAACTGGCCCACAACCACTCAGCAAGCCAGAGCAGAGCCAGGAAATTCAGCCAAGTCTTTGGATTTTCCAGGACTAGATACTGCCTGTTTGTTTCCTAATTCCCTGTCCAAGAGAATTGTCATGCCAAGAAGAGAGATACAAACCAGGTGTGGTGGTGCATGCCTGTAATCTCAGCACTTGGAGGCTGAGATAGGAGGATTGCTGTCAGTTAGAGGACAACCTGGATTACAAAGTGGGTTCCAGGTCAGCCTGAACTACATATCAAAATCCTGTCTCAAAAAGAAAGAGGGACACATGTCTTCATAATAACTGGAACAGTCTTTAGACCAAGTTGCTCATGCTTCTGTATTTTTAAAAAGGAATCATTTAACAGATATTATTTAATTAGTTATGTTTTTAAACAGTTTCATTATGCAGTTCAGGTTGGGCATTGAACTCACTTTGTAGCCGAAGCTGGCCTCAAACTCCCAAGCCTCCTGCCTCAGCCTCCTGAGTGTTAGTATTACAGATGTGTGCCACCAAGCCTGGCCTACTCTTCTCTACTTTACTCCATAAGAACCCTCTTCCTGTCTCCTGCCCTGCCTTTGCTGAAGGAGGGCGAGTCATACCAACAATAGACAGTACTTACCTAATTCATGGCCCAAGTGGCTTACAATGAACCTGACATCTTTGGGGAAGAGGAGAAAACCAGCCCCAGAGACTGTCCTCTGTGAGCCTGGAGGAGGGGGCTCTAGTCCTGACTCACAGGTAAGGGATCACTTGTCCGGAACTGGTGAGGCTGGGGTGGCTCCCGGGGTGGGAGTGGGGACGGTCTCACCCCTGCCCTGCTGAGAGGAGCCCAGCTCGGGCACACGCAGGGAGGAGTGTCCCTTGTCTTTCCGGCAAGATGGTGATATTTTAAAACACTGGCAAAGTCGCCACGGGACGTCTGAACTGTACTGAGATTCCCCTTCGGCCTTGAGGTACCTCTCTTCCAGGTACTTGCTAGTTTCACAATCCTGCGGCCCCAGTGTCCCCTTCAGGGCAGTGACAGTGATTCCCTCGGGGCAGCGGGAAAGTGACAATCCAGGACGTGGGGGGCGTTGTTTTTTATTTAAGGACGCAGGAGGCAATCCGAGTGTATTATTTCACTACGTCCTGTGACGTATGTTTCGGACCTGAAATGGACCAACGTAGCAAAAATCACTTTTTCAAAACAAACAAACAAACAAACTACTTCCTCGTCAGGTGCCTCGCTGTGCAGGACGGAGCGGAGGGAGGCTCAGGCGAGACGTGCAAGATGCCGAGCTGCGAGCGCTGCTCAGGTCCCATCTCTTTTCATTCCCTCTCACAGGATTAAATGTGTTTTGTATCAAGCAAAACTCAGAAATAATCGACAGTGTTTATTTATATGGTAATGTGGGAAAAGTACAAGACGCTTGACAAACTTGCTTCTGCTTTTCATCCTGACTTTAGCACTTGTGCTGGCAAAACGCGGCACTGCTTTCTCAAAACATATATAAAGCCAAGAATATAAAGTCTTTTACAGGTATGGTGAATAGACAGAAGCCTTCTAATGCCAAAGTATTCTAGAAATTATGTTTACTTTCTGTGTCACCTACTTGTATTGT